ACCAAGTCATTTTTGAATGGAGCGAAGGCATTAAAATAAAGACTATGATAAAAAACGATTTGGTAACATGCCGTCAGGAGCACCGTCACAAACCACGAGTTGTGCCTTCTTTCCCTCAAATTGTTGAATGACACGGTCAGCAGTTTCGCGGCTGGTGATGTCACCTTGGAGCTGAGTGACTCCAGGAATAGGCGCCATGGCTTGTAGATCAACGGCAACGATTTTTACTTCCCGACGATCGACCTCTGAGAGGGGTTCCCACAACTTCTTGGACAGAACTTGGGACCAGCTACCGGGCGCCGCACAGAGATCCACAACGCGCGTGAGAGGATTCCCATTGTCTAAGTGTCAAAAAAACACGTGCTTATAATACGACGCTACATACAGTAGCTAAGTAAAAACTATCTTTCCCCATCAACTGCAGCAAGGTTATAACTCGATTACTCACGGTCTTTTGCAAGAATATTGAACTCATCATCAATTTGTAGGAGCTTATAAGCACTTCTAGCTCTCCAACCCTCCACTTTCGCTAATCGATAGAATATATCGCGTTTGTCCCGTGAAGATTTCCCCATGACGTTTGCACGCAAGTACTGCCCAATGCATTCGAAGGTAACCCACAGCTGGCAGGCACATGAAGCAGCGGAAAAGTGGTGCCAATGTTAAATTGCAAATAATAACAGCGTCGGTAAATTTAAGTAGCTTTCCATGGATCTAAACTAAAGTCCTATTTTATATTTAAGCCGCAAAATCAAAAGACGCAGAATACAGCCTTCACTTAAATGAGTAGTTAAGTAAGAGAAAGAGTACTCAAATATGCGATACTGACAGGAACCTTTACTAAAATCTTTTTTGATTAGATCCAGATGGACTCATTCTAGATTAGGACTCATTTTTTGCCACCAACAATGATAAAGATCGTGTTTTACTTGCAACACACGTTGTTGTGCAAGGTACCTGAGTCTTAAAGGTAATTATAGATCACTAATTCCGATTGTTTCCTTAGCACAAAAGAACCTATGCCAAAATCTTGCTATCGTCTTGTTATTTAAACATTATTTTTAAACGCTCTGGCGTAATTTTAACTTTGCTACGTTATTTGCAGTTTTTGAAGCTGTTTTTGACTTTTATATGGGTTAATAAACACTTTTGTTTATCAGTGAACCACGAATCAATATCCTTGTGCTGGACGTGCTTGCGGCTAGTATAATTGCTGTGGGTGCGTGTGCTGAACGACTGATCCCGATTTTGCGTTCAGAATTGCTCTTTTACCATAAATGACCTGATTTTTAGAATTGTTTGCTTTTCAACCAACTATTTTGCTGATTCGTTTTACGGGACTAAGGATTTTTCCTCTGCCTTCGTAGATTGTGGTTGTTCATAGATTCTCTTGGCCCTCAGTTTTAACCCGTTGTTTCAATGCAGAATTTTCATTGGTCAAGCGAGATTATTTTGATGGCTTTCTGCTTTTGTGGGTAACGTTTGTTGATGATGAAGTCGGTGCAAGTTAATAGCAATTGCACTGCACTACTGGGGCACTTCCACTTGTTTTTTTTTCACTTATTTGTTACTTCTCCTCCGTCTTTGTGCTTTCTAAGGGCTTTTTAAGAATCCGGGTGACTGTCTTTCAGCAACGGAAGGAACGGCTGAGTGTTTTTTAGTATCGCTAACACGGACAATTCCACACTAGTGGATGTCAAATGATGGGAATCTATAAAATGGCTTAATTGGTACGTTAATTTGAGCACGAATCCTAACTTTTGGTTCCCCTTTTGTATGAAAGTATCATGAGTGACGCTGCAAAGGTGATTCTTGTGACCGGTGGCTCAGGTCTTGTTGGGCATGGAATACGTCTGGCATTGGAGAATTACAATCTGAAAGAATCTGGTGAAAAATGGATATTTGCCTCTTCAAAGGATATTAACCTCTGCAGTTACACGGAGACTTTGGCTTACTTTGAGAGTGTCAGGCCTACGCACGTCGTCCATCTGGCAGCCAAAGTTGGTGGACTCTTCGCAAACTTGAGTGACAATCTCGGTTTTTTTGTAAGTGCAGTCTACCCCTGAAAGATCACCTTCATTTTTCCGTATATCCACTCGTTTTATCGGGCCCATAGCAGGTCAAATATTCTAGTCTTGAGAAACATCTTGGTAAACAATGCCTAAAAATGTATCTGTGCTTACTCCACGTACTTACAGCGAACCAATATGCAAATTAACGATAATCTGCTAGACGCGTGTTCGAAGTTTGGCGTGCGGAAGACTATCTCCTGCCTTTCAACCTGCATCTTTCCTGATAATACCACCTACCCCATTGATGAAACTATGGTACACAATGGACCACCTCATTTCTCCAACTACGGCTACGCCTACGCGAAGCGTATGATTGATGTGCTCAATCAGTAAGTAACTTTCCTCCATCTGCTCCATCTCTTCTTTCACTGCTTGTCTTAGTAGTCTTGTCCTTTTTAAGAACCGAAAAATCAATGTTTCTGCTACCGCATTATATGCCCAACTTTATTAGAAATGGAATTGATGTAGTTACTTCACATTTGTTACTTCGCCCACCAATTTTCTTAGTAGCCGACTGTTGTTTCGCTTCCTTGTTATATATTAATTTGTTATTTGTACGTGTTAATTTAGCGCTTTATAATGAGTTTCACATGCGCCTATAACATTTGCCCGGACTCTAATCGACTTTTGTTGTCTGTTTTAAGATTGCTTATAACATATGTGATAATGGCTAAATGCGGCACTTGTTTATACACACAAACCTACTTGTTGTAATCTGTGTCAGTTAAGGCCTTTAAGGTGTTTTGCCCTGATAAGATTGTCGATAGTAGACGGTTCATTGAAATCGCTATGTCTCGTAGTAGGGTTACCCGATTTCCTTTACAATACGCAAAAATTGAGGGTGTTGGCCCTTTGAAAATTGGCATTTTAGTCGGTCATGCTTGTCCCCCACCGTCATACGCAGAGCCCTATCTTTATTATTTTGTATGCCTTCGCTTCGCTTAATTATTGTCTTATTACTGCATGAGATGCAAGGGCTGACGTTGGCTGGCAGTGCTGTGTAGATTAACTGAATGGGACAGCTGATTATGCAATTATGTGTGTAAACCACTTGTTTTTCCATGTATATTCTTCTGGTAGAGTATCGTTTTCGTTCAGTTTGCAGCCTTGGCTTTCGTCTACCACAGTCAAGTTTTACGTACATACAATAAGTAAGGTGACTAAGGTGGAATGCTCGTTGATTTATCATTGTTTATTGAGAGCGCCAATAACTAGTTTGCTAACTTCGAGTGGCCGGAAGTGCTTGCATTCTGGCTCCTAACTCCTGCCATTTTTTGACGTTTTTAGTGCCTACACAGAGGAATGTGGGACAGTGTTTACCTCCATCATCCCCACGAACGTATTTGGTCCTTTCGATAACTTTAATTTGGAAAAGGGCCATGTCCTCCCCGCTCTTATTCACAAGGCATACTTAGCAAAAAGCAAGTCTTTTTTGTTATTGCGGTGACTTCGTCCAGACGACTATGTAATCATCAGTAATATGCATCTCAACTGTGTAGACTTTTGTGAAGTTCTGCGCACTACTTTATTTTACTGATAAATTTGGTTTCATTTGAGAGAGGCCCGTCTATTCATCCCCTTTTTCAACCTGTTTTCTTGACTGAATATGACTTTTGAGTTGTGGCTGGTCCAATACCCTGATCAACTGCTACTAAATTTGCCATATTTCTCGCCAAACTGTATGCAACACGTGAAATGGTTATCGTTGGTCGCACTGTAGTTATTTCCGATGGCGCAAATTCCATTCAACTCTAAGGGGATGGTAGCAAATGCTTCTGACTACTTTGTAAATACATTATTTCTGTTTGCAGTACAACGGCAAGTGTCATTCATCTTCCACAGTTTTGATTGTTATACTTTTTCTCTCGATCGCATTGGTAAGTCCGCTCTTTTTCCTTTCCGCAGAGGCTGATGAGCCGTTGCTGGTGCTGGGCTCGGGCGCGCCCCTGCGACAGTTCATCTATTCCATCGACCTTGGCCGTCTGATAGTGTGGGTGCTGCGCCACTACGATCAGCCTGAACCCATTATTCTCTCCGTCCCCGAGACCGACGAAATCTCCATCAAGGATGCCGCCTCTGTCATCGTCTCCGCCATGGGATGCACGGGTCTCACTGTAAGTAATTTCGTAATGGTATGCCTACTACTAAAATAGTGGTGAGTACTCCGACTAAAATAATGCTTTTGTGAAGGTTAGGAAATGGTATTTTAAATTTTATATAAGTGACAACTCCATACTGTGGTGCCTATCTTTCCATGAACAGTTAGTGATACAGTTGCGATTCGGGTCCCATTCGTAGGTAGCATTTCATATTTAAACACTTGGGCACTTATTACACCGTCAACTCTACTTCTTTTCGCCATCTTGAGGACTTTTTTATTTACCAGGTTGTGATGTAGAAAGTGCAATATTATTTTTTGCCAGAGATGAATATGTAGCCGTCCTTTGAAAAGTCAGCGGCCCTTGATCCTTTATTAAGACCGATTCTTTATTCCTAGAGGAAGGGTTTGCGGAGCACCACCAGGATATAAACTGTTTTATTATAGTGTAAAGTTAAGAAAGTAACCTGTGATTGCATGTAGACAATGCTATAGTTCTTCTCACAAACTGGGTCATATTTCGATTGTAAGCACACCATTGTCTATTTGTGGGGATTTTGGCTCTTCGAAAACCGTCTATTTTTATACTCATGACACTGCTAGTTTTTACTAATGGGAGGAATTGGTGCCTTGACAATACATCACTTCCCATTGTTCCTATGATTACCCTAAAAAATGTCCAATACTCGCTTAATGTTATGACCGATTTCATCTGCTACCCCTATAAAGTGCTCTTATCTACGGCGATTGTTTACTTCGTAAAAGGCGTTAAAATTCACTACATGTTTCGAATGTTGGAAAGCTTAAAATTAAATGCTCTACCAACTCCACTTATATTTCAGTTTGACTCATCCAAGGCGGATGGGCAATTCAAGAAGACAGCCTCAGTGGGGAAACTAATGTCCCTCTATCCTAATTTCCAATTCACTCCTTTCCCAAAGGGTAAGTCGCCAGTTCACTTATACTCAGGCAGTGTAATTTGTGAGAATAACCACAGTTTTTATCATTCCGATATTCCTATAAACATCTGAGTGGTTTGCGCATTGCATTTCAGCTATCGCAGACACCTGCGAGTGGTTCACCGTAAACTTTGATACGTGTCGAAAGTGAAGTGAGGTTGTTGAGGCCCAGGTTCCTACAATTGACTGTCTTTGAAAAGAATTTGAAGGGAAATCTATATTTGCATTGTTTCCCACCCATCTTTGAAATTTACGTCAATTTGTCCCCACAATTTTTTGAGAGTTTCGAACTGACAGCAATGCGTACTAATTTGCTATTCATGGCTAAACCATTGAATGAGTGTCTCCCCCTTTTTCGGTTGGGTCGGTAAAGCAACTCCACAAGTGTTTTTGTAGTACTTATTACTTATCCCAAAGATTATTAATGATTGCATATGCATACTATTTCACTGGGTTTTGAGTCGGCGATATTCGGAGTAGTTGAAGAAGTTGTTATAAATTGGAGTGAGTGAGATTTGTGTTATGATCAAATTTTCGCCTTTCGACTCAGGTGGATAATGTGAGCTCTGAAAACCATCTACGGAGCCGTGAACGGCAGGCGTTGAATTTTCATGTGAGTGAAGAAATGCCTAGTATCTACGCTAATCATGCAGCTCGGGGCATTCAGTTTTGCTCTACCCATGAGCGATATTGGAGGGGAGTCCAATACTTCTTAAGTTGGCAAGAAGCTTCAGAACGAGTGTTTCATTTCTCGGTCGTTATTCTTAACAACAGTGTAAAGGCTCTGGCACCCAGCGAGGGGTTTCGTCGAAAGTGGCTTCACAAATCCCGTGTTCCCCGTCTTCCCTTACCACGTTAGTGTTGCCCGGCTGTCGACCTATGTGTAGCGTCCTGGGACTCCCTGAAGACGAAAGAAGACACAATACTTGGACAGAATATACGTATTCAGCACGGAGAAGGTGTCTGGGCTATTGGAATGGCCCAAAAGGCCAGCCCACTCAGCGAGGTACAGGGGGCTAGTCCAAAGTACAAAAGTGGTGCCTCACCAGAACAGAGGGATAAACCACTATCGCATTCCATATGCTCCATTGAGTCAGTAGAGTCGCGAAGGTGTCGCCCGTTCACATCATTAACGTCTTGGTGTGGGATGCCGTAGACTGTTCGATCGAACTCTTTCAAATTGTCGAAGTATGTAAAGTCTTATAGACCGTGTGGTTAAGGCAATCGTCAGAAGAAGAGGTCGCTATAATGCTCTGGTCACAAAACTTCGCAAATCTGATAATCTGCCAAGGTCGCCTTCTCTCCATAACCTTAAGACCAGGAACCCTCCTTGTAAACCAAAGTTACCATTCCTCAAAAATACGGTCGCTAGAAGCTGCCACTAATTTTTGTACCAAGTGTTCCCTAAAGCCATAATAAGCCGTACCAATACAACGCTTTACCATTAATATACAGAAAGCTTGAGGAAATTGGGTCGTGACCAAACTGACTGAGGAAACCACTTTGACTCGGTAACTTTCAGCTTGCCATTTTAACCAAACTATGTAAAAATGGAGAGCGATTGCCCTTGCTAAAAACAGAAGAGGTTCCAAACAAGTCACCTACCTACCCCCAGAAAAGATTTTGCATATGGGTTCATAAAATTCATGTACTTTGTAATTTAAGTGTTTGATACATATTATCTGAACGTCCTCTAGGCAAAATAAAGCCCTGTCTTGCCACTCAAGTTTCGATCTCAAAAATTTATTTGATTTCTTGGGCATAATCCCGGAAAACCTCCACCAAAATATTAATTTGGGTATTTGTGGTAAATTGGTGACCAGACTAGTGACAGAGATTAACAATAATTGTAAACCACTTTAATAAAATGCACCGTGAATTCACTGTTTGCGTTCATGCCTGTCTGTTTTCTCATCAGCAATTATCATTACATGGGCTTATTTAACTTAACCACTAATGTAAATTATAATTGAACGAGTATTTTCAACAGTGTAACCATGCAGATTGAAATTGTTGGTTTAATTGGAAAATGGCAATTCCATGCCGCACATTACCTTTCAAAAGTTTGATTTGCCTTTATTTCACAGGATTAGGACCTTTACGAATGCTTCCCTGGTGACTTCAAGCAACCGATGCCAAATGCATTGTATGAACTTGAATGGGTCGAATTTCTGCATGGAAAGAAGCGAGTAGACTTGATTTTATTGTAATTACGGTTAGAAATTGAAAGGTGAATATTGGGCGCTTGATAGCGTAGTATTTTGTTCGTGCAATGGCAAACCAATTGGGGATTTCACGGATTTTCAAAACTGGGCTAAGGAATGTTATCATCTACAGAACTACAGACCTCGCACCTTTTACGAAATGCTAGCCCATGATAACTACAGGGACAATCTGATGCGAAGAAACGTAAGAGTTTATTATTTTATATCTCAGAGAGCCTATGTTTCCATGGCTATTACAATTGGAGGTGATTCATGCGGAACGCTTCTTTTTGAGGTATGTAAAAGTACTGACGTCTTATTATTGAAGCTTTATTCAGATCTTGTGCCAAAAACCTGTGAAAATTTTATGAAACTATGTACGGGGGAGTTGGGAATTATACCAAAAAATGATTGTGAAAACTATCGGATGCACTACCTAGATACTATATTCTTCAGACTTGTGCCTGACGGCTGGATACAAGGAGGAGGTATCTCTTGTGCACATCCCTTCGTATTAATTTTAAGATACTCTCTATGGCAGTGGAGATGATGGTCGCTCCATTTACGGTGAGGAATTTGAAGGTTGGTTGGGATTCCTACTTAAAAGTGCATTTCTCCTCTCCGGACTCGCCATACGTTTGCTTTTCTAGACGAAAACTTTGCCATTAAACATGACAAACGCGGCGTACTGAGCATGGTCAACAAAGGTCGACACACAAACTCATCTCAGTTCATGATCATCTTCCAGCCTGCACGGTGGATGGACTACAGATATGTAGCCTTTGGGTACGTTTTTATTACATCATTAGGCTCAACTGTCATTGCTTTACAATACTGGGCAACGACAAGACAGACAGCACCCACCACGATTAACAGCTCTAACGTGGGTTAGAAGGCCCAATATTTAAAAGATTATGGGATTCCTTCAAACTAAGTTACTCACTTCTTGTAGCATCAAAAATGTTCAAGGCAACTACTAGGCATACTGCCAAAACGTTCAAGGATCTCTTTATTACGTCAATGTAAATAAATGCAAATGGAATGTGTTGGCGATCCCGTGACGATTTTTTTCCTTTCAGTCAACTTTTAGAGGG